ATTAAGAATTGATCTAAAATGTAATTAAATTAAAATTAGATTAGCATGTTAGAAATTATAATAAATAATTAAGAATTTAGAATTAATTGTGATCTAAAATATAATTAAATTAAAATTAGAATAAAAATATAAGAATTACAATAAATAATCAAAATTTTATAATTAATTGTGATTTAATTGAATTAATACTAAACATTATAAATTATGTATATTAGATATGAGAAAAAAAAAATAACAATAAAAATATAGAATTTAAAGATATTATATTTCATGTCTATAATAACAGTATTAATGATTACATTTTAATTCAAAAATATGTGGAGGGCCATATCACTATTTTTAAAAGACAGAAATAAAGTGTCGTGAAGCAAAAAAAAAAATCAAAAAACTATTTGATGAACCAGTTAAAAAAAAGGAAATGTTTTTATCTAGTTTATGCCTTCATTTGGGAAGTGAATTGATTTTTTGACTTTTTAATTTTTTTATTATTTTAGTCAGCTTAGTTTGGAAAGGGCTTTTTAACTTTTTGACTTTTTTTGTTTTTTTGTGAGATAAGAGTGTAATTATTATAGATTGGATGTGATGTTTTGTTTATTGTGGCTAAAATAGCCTATTTTGTCTTTTGTAGCTATTTTAGCCCCAAACCTCCTTACCAAACGGAGCATATTAAATTAGAGTATATTGTTGGGCTTGTAGCGTCTACTACGGGTTCTATTTATATGATTTGAATCGTTAAATGTGTAGAACTCATCGAATATTTTATATTTATAAAAAATCATGTTGTCGGTAGCCTCTTGATCAAAATACATTTTTATTAACAATTCACTTTTAAAATTATATTTACCATTGATAAAAATATTTTTCGATCAAGAAGTTACTAATATCAGATCAACATAATTTTTTGTAAAAATAATTTATTCAATAAATTTTACATATGGTGCAGTTCAAATTATTGAAGCAAAATCCTTAATAGCCCCCACAGAGCCAACAATATGTTCCAGTCTACAGTAGACCGGAAAAAAAGCCTCGCCAAGACGTGCAAGAACTCTCCACCAAAAAGAAAAAAAAAAAAAAATTTACAAATCGGTGTACCACCAGTGATCAAATTTTCATACTCCAGATTGTAAAAGAAAATGGAGCAGCAAGATGAAGAGGAAGAGCAGCTATCAGAAGAAGGTTCAAGAGAATGGGAGCCAATTCACTACCTTCATCATCCTCCTCCTCTTCTCCACTCATCATCAAATACCCTCCATCGATCACTCTCAGATTCTCAAACCCAATTCAGAGAATGGTCAATGGTAGCTTTCAGAGACGCCCACTTCGACTCCAATCACGATCATTCCATCGTCTTCCCTCCGATCAACCACGAAGGCCTCCACATAACTTCCTCACCCTCCGATGATCAACACCAAGACCTTAAACCATCAAATTCACCGCCAGATGATAATGGGTTGGTCCCACTATCGCCGCCGCAGACGGCGGGGGTCGGCGGTGAGGCTGTGGCGAGGTGGGTGGGTTTTGGGTTTGAGCTCTTGCGGTCTAAGGTTTCGGGAATTGCGTCCTCAGTCCGAAATTTTGTTGGTTTTGGAGGGACAAATTGGTCATATAGTTTAGGGGCAAATAGGTCATTTAGTTCTACCATCGGAGTGGCTGCGGCGCTGCTGGTTTGGTGCTTATTGGTGGCGGTCCGGCGGCGGAGACGGCGTGTGTTGGTTCGGAAAGAGAGTAGGGATCATTTGATTCTTCTTATTAAGGAGAAAGATGAGGTTAGTTTTGCATTACAAGTGTTTGTGAAAATGTCTTGCCTAGTTAAGTGTTGTAAGCATTTATATATGGGAACTATGCAGTGGGAGAAGGGAAAATAATTACTAACATACAGGGGGTGAAAGTCATATTTGTACCCATAAGTCTTTTATTTGTACCCACCACATAAACTTTCATCTCATGTGTTTGTAATTTTTTTCCAATGTAATTCTGCCTTTATATATTTACTTCTAATTATTTTGGGAACCTTTCATTCTATTCCTTATTGGAACCTCATGCACTTTCACTTTCTCTCATAAATAAGCCAGGTTAAACAGTTCATTTTACAACCAGAAAATTTCCAAATACAGATGTTATGATTGGTTTAACTTATATTAAGTTCCTTATAGCTCAGTTCGAGTCAGTTTGGCTAGAATCAAATTAAGGATGCATTTAACAGCTTCAAGAAAACTGCATGTATAATATAATACAGTTAACTTAAAGTGACAATTTCGATACCAAGGCCTAAGAATATAAGATTAAACCAAACCAACCCCTCACTATTTTTCTAATACCATCTCTATCTCTTCCTTACCAATCCCCTCTCCAAGGGTATTAGTAATACAAGGGACTAATAGTCCCAAGGCCTTCTCCCAAAACAAACAAGACTATTATTAATACCTTGGTATTAGCAATCCCAATACCCTCTCTTTCACCCAAAACAAACGGGGCCTAAGTCTTTTATTTGTACCCACCACAGATAAACTTTCATCTCATGTGTTTTTAATTTTTTTCCAATGTAATTCTGCCTTTATATTTACTTCTAATTAATTTGGGAACCTTTCATTCTATTCCTTATTGGAACCTCATGCACTTTCACCTTCTCTCATAAATAAGCCAGGTTAAACAGTTCATTTTACAACCAGAAAATTTCCAAATACAGATGTTATGATTGGTGTAACTTATATTAATTTCCTTATAGCTCAGTTCGAGTCAGTTTGGCTAGAATCAAATTAAGGATGCATTTAACAGCTTCAAGAAAACTGCATGTATAATATAATACAGTTAACTTAAAGTGACAATTTCAATACCAAGGCCTAAGAATATAAGATTAAACCAAACCAAACCAGACCAAACTAGGCATTGTGTCCTAACGAGGAGGGGTCGACTACATTTTCACCATTACACTCTATTAAGGGTTATATGCTCGGTTAAATTAGTGTCATTACGGGGCCTTGATCCTAGTAGCTATTCAGATCTCAAGATGTGCATGGTGTGATAGCCACCAGATAATTTCTTATATCTGGTTGTCCAACCCTTGCAATCAAGAGCTGTGAAACAGTGTTGTTGCTGGCAAACCTTTGACCATGCTTTTTTAAGCTTCAGTGAAGGCATTTAGGGTTTGTTTGACACAATGTCATCAACTTTTCCACTGTAATCATATATGAATTTCTAAATATGGCATTCAGTTTGGTAAGCATAGCATTTTGTTTTAGTTTGATCACTCAAAGAAGTGCCTCAATCACTTTGCATAGTGGATAAGAAATGTTTAATCTGCCATGCACTTTACTTGAAATCTTTTCCCCTGTAAATATGCTTCTGAATAGAATATGATGAAGCATTTTGTGGTCCCTACTAGAAATCATCTTGCTTGAACACAAGATCACAGGAGTCTAAGGATGTTGGTTTTGGTGTGATGGTTTTCACATGGTTATAATTTTTCAAGTATTTTAAGTTTTTTTGTGAGTTGGAGCACTTTGTGAATATTGAGCAGTTTTGGTCTTGATTGGGTATTCAAAATCACGTAGTTTTTCAGAAAAAAAGGCTGATCCTAGGGGATGTGAACAGCAAGGGAAAAAAGTTCTTCACAAGATCTGACTCCAAATTGGGTGTTTTGAAAGCATGCTAAGATGGAATGGATATGAATTGTGGCTTTTTCCCATTTTAAAAATGAGAAATGTCTTGAATAAGATTCTTGATATTTTGTAGGGCTGCAAATGAACCGAACTGTTCATGAACAAGCTCGGCTCGGCTCGTTAAGGGCTCGGCTCGGCTCATTTAGTAAACGAGCTGAGCTCGAGCTTACATAAGCTCAGCTCGTTTATCTTTATTTAAATTATATAATAAATATATTATTTACATATTAAATAATATATAAATACATAATTTATATATTAAAAATATATAAATATATATATAAATAATAATAAAAATACATTTTTTATATATTAAATAATATAAATAATATTTTTTATTTAAATATTTATATTTAAATAATATAAATAATATTAAAAAAAATTATCGAGCCGAGCCGAGCTTGAGTTTCATTAAAATTAACGAGCCGAGCCGAGCCGAACTCGAGCCCAGTTCCTTATTGAGCCGAGCTCGAGCTCAATAAACGAGATCGATAAGCAAACGAGCCGAGCTCGAGCTCGAGCTCAGCAAAGCTCGGCTCGGTTCGTTTGCAGCCCTTTGTTAACCAACTTGATAAATTTTGCAATGATTCTCCAACAATTGACGCTGTGTTTGGTTGGAGGATTTGAAGAGGGATTTGGAAAGGGAAAGGGAAAAGTTTGGTGAAATGTGAATAAAATATACCTACATTTCACCTAATTTCACACACCTTTTCCTTTTCCCTTTCCAAATCCCTTCCCAAATCTCTCAACCAAACACAACATGAGTAGTGCATATGTTGATCCTAATCATTGTACATGTTCACGTTTTTGTGTGCATTGCTCTTAAGTTTTTGTTTGATTTCATTGATACACTCAGCTGAAAGTTTGTCTATTTACATTATTATTACCTCGTTCAGTCCTATCCTGCCCTCCAGTTGTGTTTAATTTTTTGAAATGCTCATTTGCAGAAAATTAATCACCTCTTGCAACAAATTGCCCAAATGAATCAAGTACTGCTATCCCTTCATAGAGATTCTTTGTCTGGAACTGGTGGATCAACCAAGTAAGAAGCAAGTTTGCTGTCATGGTTTGGTTTTAATAATCCTTCAATTTTTTTTGCTCCTACTCTGAAACTATGTGTTGTTTTAGATGTGAGCATGCTATTTATTTACCTTAGCAAAATTTATCATGTAGAATTGCAGTAGTTGAATTCTTCGGATATTTTTTTTTCAACACTTTTTCATGTTTTTGTACCTTGAAAATATCCGAAGAATTGCTTGTTGAAAAACTTTCATGATCTGTTTCATGGAAAATTTTTAAAGTATTTGCCGGACCTTCAGTTTACCAAATAGATCATGTCCATGTAAAGTAGGTTTTCTAGAGAAAATACCTTTTGTCCAGATGGTGCTTTATTGAAAGGTTTTTTTGTATTTTATTTTATTCTTTTTTGAAGTTGTTGGGCACTGATTTCTTGAGTTGTATAAGGAGAAGATATCTAGTGGTCTGGAATTACCACATCATAATATTTCTGATTAATCATGGTCAGCTAACACTCTAAGTGGGCCATTTGAGTCCGATTAACCATGATTAGCTAACTCAACCTAAGTGGGCCCAAGGGCTCATCTGAGTTGGTTGACTACCGTTAATGACGTGGTGGTCATAGACCACGAAAAACAAACTCATTATATGATGGTTGTTTGAGTCTATCTTTTGTACCCGCTTTCATTTTATCATTTACTTCTTATCCAATTGTATAAGGGTCATGTTTTTATTTAGTATTTTGTTGTTGATCAAAATGTATTTTCCATGGTGTTTTGATTAATTGGTCCTTAAATCTAGTGAGTCTCATTTCCATTCATTTGATATTGTGGGTTGAGGTGAAATGAGACACCTAGAGCTTTTTTGTGATATGGATTTTCATCATCAGCAATACTATAAATCCAAAATTATTTACCTAAAACTTATTTAGAAATAACAATTAATAGTTCAAATTTATTTATTTGTGAATTTTACACTTCATCAATTCAATCTAATTATGGGATCATCGACTTTTCCTTTCATCACACCGAGCAATGCTCACTTGAGCCACAACTAGCCAAATGATCACTCGAACAATTTTGACCAAACAAAGCTTTAATGTAATGTTTGATTTATTGGAATGGAATGATTATTCCATCAAAATATTCATATTAACTCATGTTTGGTTAGACTAAAAAAAATAATGATATATGCATTACAAATGGAATCATTTTTCATCATTTTAAAATTTGTCACCATTTAAGGGAATGATCATTCTAAAGGAAAATCATTTTTCATCATTTTAAAATTTGTCACCATTTAAGGGAATGATCTATCTAAAGGAAAACTTACATAATCATCATTTGATTTCATTTCTAGCATGTTTAGTGTAATTTATTACAAGTTAAAAATTAATAATAAAAAAGTAGAAGCTAAAACTATCCCTTCTTAGTTTTTAGATAATCAGTTTATTTAGGTTCTTGTTTACCTAATAAGCGGTAAGTAGAAATTGTACCAAATTACTACTAACAGCCTATCTATCTCAATCTAATAATTTGAAAAATAGAAAGTATGATGGTGTTTTGTTTATTTTTCACCTAAATGTTCATTTATATGTTTGGTTAAATTAAAAATAATAATAATAACAAATGCATCACAAATGGAATATCTTTCACTATTTTAAGAAAATGGTTATTCTATAAGAAAGTTTAAGAATCACTATTTCATTCCAATCAACCAAGTAGGGCATAAATGTGTGAACGAAATCTTTAATCAATTAAAGCTCATTTAGGAATTGATTATTTTAGTAAGTTTTTGAAATTTTTACAAAAAAAATGTACAAAAAAAATAGATAAAATGATATGAGTAAGTGTTTTACTTTCTAGCTATCCAAAATCAAATTTCAAATTAGTGCATGTCATATTTGTAAATAATATTTAAATGGTAATTGGTTTTGCTGTTAAATAGTTTCAAATGCACTTTTAAAAGTATGTTAAAAAATCATGGTGAGCCCAATAAAACAAATTAGTTTTTTAGCTCAAAATAAAAAATCAAAAAAAAAATCAAAATGAAAAAATAAATAAATTGATGGTTATAACAGATTCAGTGTTCATCTAATCCCAATTCTATTCTAAGAAATTTCATAATAATTTTATATATATCATATTCTGAGGCAACAAAGATGAAAATAATTGAATGCAACCGCCATCTAATAACATCTTATTATTTTCTTTTACTAGTGGGTAATATCATGTATCACTAATGATATAATATCACCATTTTTTACTCAAAAATAAGTTTTGGTATCTCCACGAACTTGAGTGCAACATGCATTTTATAAAGGGTGTCAGGGGTGTAAATAAAAGGTTGTCTGAGTACAAGTGTTGCTTGTATCCCTTCATACGTTGGTAGTTTTTTTTTCGTTCTCCAATTTTTTGAAGAACTTATTAAAAAATATAATATCTCTACTTTTTCATTAAACAATAAATCAATTCATAACCAACTTTAGTTGTACAAATTTTTATGTCATTTATTAACATTTGCTAATATAAATATATGTTACGTTTTTTTAGTGTTGATAAGATTTTTTCAGCCAAAATAAGCTATAGTGGGATTACGTAAAAAAAATTAACGTTGTTCGTCAACAATTGGTGCCTCACACAAGACAGAATTGATAAATATAAAATTTCACATATTTCTTCTTTCACCAAGATTATTTGAGATTCAAAATAAGAATATGCTATTGATTACTTTTGTGTTAATTTATTTTGATTTTCTCCAATATCTCAATCATATATTGCATATATTACACTCATTACAATTACAAAATACATTTATGAAATGAAAAACTATCTATAATCAAAAATATATATATTAGTAAACCATGCAAAAGTGCTTCTTTAGTTCTACATACAACATGCATGTGTAAAAATCAGCGGAAATTTGTCATTCAACCTGCGTTTTGGACACTAGGCTGCTTATTTATGGTTAATTCCGTCTGACATTTAAAACATTATTAAGAGAAAAACAAAAATAAAGCTAAAATTTGACATAACCATCACTTTGCGATATTATGCAAATTTCAATTTTGAACTATTATAAACTTGTTTTTATAACTTTTACCCGAGCAGAAAATTCAACACAACTAACAAATAAGTCAATGTTATTAGCATGTTTAATCAGGGGATAATTAGGTAAGAGTGAGTATGGTCCGAATTGGTTCGATTTGAAATAAAACTAAGATCAATCTGTTTCATAAAAATTGGAATCAATCCAATCTATTTAAATCGCAGAACCAATTCGAATTAAACCATTTAAACACAGTTCGGTTCAGTTTGAAACCACGGATTCACATAATCTATTAACAAAGAAAAATCATATAATATTTTCATTTCATAATTTTTCAAAACATAAACATGCATATTGTTCCACCATTAATTTAAACAAATATAATGATAATATCTAGTTCCATAATAACAGCAGCAATCGCCAAATTTTTTAAAAAAAAAATTAAAACTAGTTCCACCATTAGATCATTACAAAACTAAAACTAAAAAAAAAAAAAAAAAAAACATAACAATACCATCAAAATTCCATAGCATAATATGAATATAAGAGTTATGATAGTATAAGAGATACGATAATATGTACTAGGGATGTATGATATGAATATAGTTAAAGTTACATACGGTTCAGATCGGTTCTAATCCAGAATTGTGAAGTGTAATCAAAGCTGATCCACGAAATACAATTTCTCAATTTTTCAATCTAAAACCGAACCACGGATTAAAAAAATCAATCCACACCTACCAGACTGAACTGGACCAGATCGATTTACGAAGTTTACAAATTTCTTACTCAGCCCTAATATTAGGTCTACTTTAGAACATAAATCATCAAAAGTCGAGTAGAGACTTAAATCAGTGATAAGTCCACTTAAAAAAAAAAAAAACCCAAAATAATCCTTTTTTTTTTTTTTGTTGAGAACCAACCCAAAATAATTACTTACTTAGAAGAGAAAACATTCAAAAAATGAAATCATTCACCATGTGACAACAGATAATGAGAAACAAAATTCAATAACAGTGAGCTTGAACAACTGGCAAAAGGCCATGAAAGGAACTTCTCCATCTATTGAAGCTAAAAAAAAAAATTAAAAATCTATAAAAAAGAACCCATAGATATAATGGTTGCCCTATTCCCAGGGCGATAATGGTTGCTGCTAAAACAGGGTACAGTACCGATCAATTTTTGTCTTCTGTTCACATACTCTCCAAGGAGAAATTATTTAATATTTTAAGAGTACCACGTTTGAGAAATTATTTAACATTTCCGGCGTACCATGTGTCTATACTCCCCTCCCAAAATGTGTAAACTACTACAAAGAATTAATACATACTACTACTAAAAGAAGGGCAAGAAAAAATATCATCAATGGTACAAGGTTGAACATCCAGCCAAATTCCAATCCTCCTCACGCAGAATTCTTACTATAATAATGAAGAACTAAAAAGCCCCAATAAATTGGAGTTGCACATTTACATATTTGAGTGTTTGGGGGTACAACAACACTATTGACAACATTGCTTGTTATCAGTTTTTCTAAAAAAAAAAAGAAAAAGAAAAAAAGAGATTCCCAAAGTTTTTTTCCCACCCACACCACCTCTTCTGTCTGGGGTATGCAACTTATAAATTCTGTCATTTTCTACAATGAATGTGAAAAAACTGCTACAAAGAATTAAAGTAAAAAAACCAGACAAACTTACATATAAAAAATGGCCTAACGATTGGAACTTTTGTCCCCCAGGAATTTAAGCTTGCTCTACAAACCGAAGTCCTTGATAGCACCTTCAACCGGGGGTTCCATTAAAATGCTGAAGAACTTGTAAAATCTATTGTGTTTGCTTCTCTCGTGGAAACAGTTGGTACACTCTGCAAGAACCATCCACGCGGTTAATATTGCAATGTTCTTGACAGTTTCTGAATTGGGTAACTCTTGGTGAATCAAACATTTAATCACATTTTCAATTAGAAAACCATTCAGCTATTTTTTATCTGATGAAATGACAAGAGCAGTCGTTCAAAAAGAACTGTCAAACACATATACTGGTCTGCAGTAATGTATTTCCCTTTCTAGCCATGGGAAAAGGTTGTTTCTTCGGTAGACTACAAACAATAATTGTCAGAGCTATATAGACACAGAGGGCAAAAAATAAATAACTAAATTTAACATGAGTCAAGCAATCTGAAGGGTATAACAAAACATTAGCATCCCTAGAGAAATTTTAAGTCAAATAATGGCAGAAAATATATCAAACATTTAGAAGACTGAAGAAGAATAAACATCCATGAATCAAGAAGAAAGCTTCCCAAATCCCAACTAAAACCTTCATGAGCTGTAATAGAAAAACATCATCAATTCAGATGAGCAAATAAATATAAATCTGAAGAACCTTACATGGGGTTCTAATTTTGGTTTTATGGATAAAAATGTGTCTAACAAGGTAAAAAATAAATAAATCGGGCACTATCATATCCTATAAACAACTTGGGATTTTATAGGAAGTTGGTTCGAAACATCAAGTGAAAAATAAACTTCATTTCTCATACTCATTTGCATATAACCTACCCCAGTATTTGGTCCAAGAAATATACCAATCAACTTCTAAGAAGGTTAGTTACTGTTAACATATATTAATATAATGTAACATATATTAATATAATGTATATATTATATTACCACAGCTGTATCATACTAATATATTATATATATATATAGGATGCTAGGATGCCAGAGCACGCCTTCGCGGCTGCTTTCGGCTACTTTATAATATTTTATGCTCTGCTTCATCATGATGTTATAAACACCAGCTCCTATAAATGGAGTCTCCTCTTACACTGTCTAATACAATAAATATATACAAGTGTTTCACTCTCTTATTTCTTTCAAATGCAATTTAGAGGTGCTGTAAAAGATCCAAAGAAGTACAAATGTGCATGCTTCACATTCTATTGTCTAACCAAGACAGAATATAACCGGGCAAATTTAAAGACGAGGAAAATATTGACAGACTGTATGAGTCTTTAGGTATTAGATAGATGAACCATCAAAAAGGGTGATTTTCAAAGTTATACTACTTGAATGGGAGAGAAATTCATGGTACAGGGTCAAGAAAAAACAAATTTTTTTCTGAGATTGCTCAAAAGTAGAAAATTTTGTAAGTGAACAAAAGAATTCTACTCCTGTGTTCTAAATCCAATACAAGGCAATAGGAAAACCAAACTATCAACACTTTGAATTGTTACCAACTTTAAATCTGAAATAGTAAATTGTAATTCAGCAAAAGAATTATACTGCTGTGTTCTAAATGCAACACAAGGTGATAGGAAAACGAAACTATTAACTTAAATTTGAAGTGTTATCAAGTTCAAATCCGCAGTTTTGGTGAAAAAGTACATTACCTACGGATTATCACCCCCTGAAGATGATATATACCAGCTAACTCCGTGATCCACTACTCCGCCCAATACCAAACCGATCTACAAACTCCAGAGGAGTATCTGTTTCATTCCTGATTCTCTTGATCTTGGGGCTCAACAAGCCTCTGTGTCTAAATCCATATAGATTAAGAACCTGGTTATCTGCAAAATTATAAGCCCTCTCCATACCACTCATGCACTTCTCAACCGGGTAATCCCCAAAGCTCCCGCAAGGCTTGCAACCCACAAAATGCGTCACAAATGGCCACCTCTCATCTCCCAATCCTGCATGGTACTTCTCAATCATCTCTTCGTACCGATCCACCAACCCAGCCCAGTAACCATGTAAATAGTAAGAATTCTCAAGAAACACCTTGTTCATCCACAGTTTTCTCTGTGAAATCAACAAGTATATCAATGCTGATTGATCATCGGCCTCAAAATCCGGTCTACCCTTCAAATTCGCAGTCAAAATCTTCCCGGCCTCTTCACGAACCCGACCCTTTGGACCCATTGGTGCCCAAGCATCGAGCAAATCCAAAGACCACTGACAATTCCGAAACAAAAAACTACCCGTGTTGACCGCAATCCACGATTTCTCCTTGAATAACAAATCAGGGTAGCCATGAACAACCAGATTGTGATTCTTATACTTAGAAAGTGGAATTTCAAAAACCATATCTGTAAACAATGCATCACTATCCATCCACCAAATCCACTCAACTTCAGGGTGAGACAACATTAATCTCCTAATCAATGGCAATTTAGCCCAAAACCCAGAAAGCTCTTTATCCAAATGAGCCATATTGTAAACAATCTCAATCCCATGAATCCTACAATAATCAATCTTGTTTTTTGTTGCTTTCAACAAATAATGATCCCCAATTGCATTATCACACGGGTTAGGCCTCGAACCGGTGACGAGCATGATTCGAGGTTTGTCATTGACATGGGTGGGGAATTCAGGGTTGCGATGGAGCCAGATCTTTCGGTCCTTGTCCCAATTGGTGATTTTGGGACCGAGAGTGAAGGTGACATTATTAGTGTCTGTGTCGAAGATGAGGTTGTTATTGTCGGAGTCAGAGTCGGAGGGGTCTTTGCCGGATTTGATTTCGGCGAGGATACGATTGGTTTCTTCGAGGAGGTTTTGGTTGATGGCGTCGGCGTTGGAGGTGCCAAGGTTGACGCCAATGTAGCCACGGAGGACGAGGATGGTGACGAAGCCGCAGAGGAGAGTTATCTTTATGTTGTTGAATGTGCGGTGGATCTGGCGGCCGCGTGGGATCGCCGTGGAGGTTCTGGTGGCGGTGGTTCTGCCGCCGTTGGGAGCGGTGGTTGGAAGTGCTCCGCCGCCGCGTTTCTGGGCTGTCGTCCCATTTTCTTGACCCATTGTCTCTCCCGAGACTATTTTCTCTCTCTGGAATGAATTAGAAGAGAGAGAGAGAGAGAGATAGAGAGAGAGAGAGAGAATGGGAGAAATGTATGTAAGAGCCTTAGCTGGGTCGGTGATGATGATGATGTGAGTGAAAGAGAGAGAGTCTGTGTGTGTATGAGAATCGAGAGAGAAAGCACAGAGAGAGGGTAGTTTTTATGGTTGAAGTGGGTGTTTTTATTTCCGTTGTACCCAAAAAAAAAAAAAAAAAAAAAAAAAAAAAATGTAGAAAAAAATGGGTGTTGCGTTTTGTTTGTTTGTCTGTCTGTTTTTGTCTGGTATTAATGTGTAAATATGCATATGTGTTGTTTTAAGGTGTTCTGATAGGTAGGGAATGTAAAATTTATGATTTTATATTAAATAATTGAGGGATATAAAATGACCTAATGTATAATAGTTAGTTCTAAAGTGTGAACCAGACAAAGTGCGTTAGAAATATTGAATAGTTTTTCGTAAATATGAGAGACCTGCTCATCTAGTGGCAGTCGGCAACTATACGACTTGCCAATTTTCGTCGTATCAATTTTTATTTTTTTTTTTTGTTAATTAGTTATATGCTTAAATTATATTTAGAAAAAATTATTTATAAGTTTTATTAGAGAGACTTATGCTATATATGATCCTATAAAAAAATTTATGTTCTCATAAGTCTTATGAGAAGTTTGTTGACACATTTACCCTCAATATTATTTGTTAATATCATATATAATAGTAAAACTATATATAAGAAATTGAATATTAATATAGATCATATCTATATAAACGTAACGTGACACTTACATAAACGTAACGTGACACCTGTACGTAACGTGACACCTACATAAACGTAACGTGACACCTATGATCTATGGCAACATTCAATTTCCTTGAATGTTGCCATAGATCATATTTATATGAAACGTAACGTGATACCAACATAACCAAGCAACATTTTCACTTTCAATTTAAAAAAATAAAAACTCATTAAGTTTGCGAAACGTAACGTGACACGTTATGTTACGTTTATGTAGGTGTCACATTACGTTTATATAGATGTCACGTTACGTTACGTTTATGTAGGTGTCACGTTACGTTACGTTTACGTTTATGTAAGATATTGTGGAATACATTCCTATCTAAATAGAACTTGAGACTCTATAAGAAATTATACAGGACTTAGCCTAGTATAAGTGTCTAAAAAAGGATTTATAAATAAGTCTCCCTTATATTTATATTATAAAAAAATAAATGATAATTGTTAAAATTATAATGGTCTTTTATTGTTTTAAAACAAATGTTATTCAAGTATATAACTAACATATATGATCATTTTAATTTTTTAGATTTTGTCCAACGAATCCTAAAAATTAAATGATTCCAATCATTGAAATCAATTCCAAAATAAGCTCACTAAGTCCAAACTCTCTATCAAATTGGATAGTGAACTTATACAAATATTTACAATTTATTATTATTTTTGTTTATGTAAAATATTAGGATTAATTGGTGATAAATTCATTTATAGAGTGTCACGACCCAAACCCGCCCCTATGGGTTTAGTACCGTAACCGCCCAGTAATCCGTGATTACCGAAGGCCTGCTTAACAGTCAAACAATAATACAGAGTACAGAGGCATGGCGGAAGCCAAAACAGTAAATAGATAATGTCCAATGAGCTGTGACAGTCTGTATGCAAAAAGACTTTTCATTCATATGCACATTCGTAACAAAACAGTCTACACAACATTTACAATCACCCAAAACAGGGACCTAATCCCTATTAGAACAGTACAGTACAGTACAGTAACATTCAGTCTATACAGATTATAAACAAAAAAGGGAAAATCTAAAACTCCTCAAGCAGCCTCAGCTTGAACAGATCAGGAACCTCGAAGGGAGGCACAAAGGTTGGCTTTGACAAAACAGAGCTTAGCTTGACGCTCCTAACAACGGTCCGGTGCCTGAACACATACATATATATATATATATATGAGCAGTGAGCTAAAGCCCAGTGAATAACATATGCGTAAAGATGTTAAGAATGAATGTCCTTTCAATATTGAAAACGGTCAATTAAACAATATATCAGTCATTCAGTTTGTGGCTCATATTTCAGGCCATAACAGTCATTCAGAAACTATAATAGTCATATGTGGTGCATCCAATAGCAAAACAATAAAGTAGGTCTTATCAGATCGAACAGCCAGTTGATGGTCATCATATCAATAAACAGTAGTGGTTCCAACATGGGAACCGACAGAGATCTCTGTGACAGTAGCAATACAGTACAGTAACAATAGGTTGCTATGGATGCCACGAATACAGTTCACAAATAGGACATCATTCATTCAGTAACAGTATCATTTCAGAAAACAGTACAATCATTGTTCAGAAAATAATCTCAATTGAACATATCTTTACAACATTGTTACTCACAGAGTTCTAGGCTACAGATAAGCTAGTACGCGTCCTCGGATGCCAACCCTACACAGTTACAGAGTGAACACACACTAAGCTACACAGTTGGGAAAAGATAACTTAATCCCTATTTTGACTCGGTGTGGTTCTACATTAATATCCTCATCAAAATGCCTTAAACTAGGCCTAGGAATGCCCAGGATGGAATAAGGATGCAAAGATGTACTTTAAAAATATTTTCAAAATTTTTAAAAAATAGAGGTCACGCTCGAGCGTGTCTTTCCCCGCTCGAGCGGATATGCAAACAAAAGTATCCGCTCGAGCGGACTGCAAAAGTACTGGATGTGTGAAAATCAAGCTCGATTGGGCGCTCGACACCCGCTCGAGGGTGTGACACAAGTCCTCGCTCGAGCGTGCGAAACTCTGCTCGAGCGAACTGTAAACACAATAAAAGTGCTGGATGCACGAATTTCCCGCTCGAGCGCCACTTACCCCGCTCGAGCGGGAGTCCAAAATCTGGAATTTTCAGATTTTAACCTCAAGCTCAAAATCAAGTTTCAATGCATCAAATTCGATCCTTTTGGGCTAGTTTTCTGGAAAACACTTCAAAACTCATAATATGACATATTTCAAAGATCAATTTGAGAAATCAAAGCCCAAAGGTAGTTCAATTAACATGATTTTAAACCAAAGTCCAAGAACATAACTCAAACATGACATGCATGAGTTTAAACCAATTCAAAGCTTCAATTACATGCTCTAATGAGCTAATTCTTTCAAAAACATGGTAAAATCATGGACTATACTCAAAATATGAACATGCATGTGGCAAATTTGTGAAGAACAACTTCAAAATGCAAGAATATGCCCATGTATGCAAAGATTAAGCTTTGATTCAACAAATTAAGCTAATTCATGACCTTAATCTCTAGACTTCCATAAACCATGCAACATATAACTTGAATACATGAACAAGAAAGTATAATCTCTACCTTAAGTCTCCAATTCTAGGTGTAGGAGTCCAAACATGCAATCAACCTTCAATTTCCTCAAATCACCAAGCTAAAATTGTTGAACTCAAGTTTCCTCACTCTCTTTGTCTCTAGTCGGCTAAGGACTCAAGGAATGGCTGAAGAAATGATGTTAAACAATGTATAATTCAAGTCTCAACATATAGTATGAAATGGGCCACTAAGTGGCAAAGTTGTAAATAATGCAACTTGTGTAATGTAACGCCCTCAAAATAATACATAAAACCCAACACTTTAGACATGCATTGATATAAAAGAAACCAACCATTTCTATTCATCAGAGTAATTCTTACAACTGTATTATATGTTAACAACGAAAGCAAATGCCCTATGGGCTTACAGCTTTCCAAGTCAACACTTGGTTACACAAAATAAGAGTACTAACTCTATACAAAATAAGTCATTGGCTTGATATACATGTAATACAAACAAAATAAAATAAAAAAAGAGTCTTCAACTCTCATCATCATCCAAGCTATGTCCTTGGAGGTGGCATACTACCTACACCTGAAAATAATGTCCCATAAGGGTGAGCCAACGCCCAGTAGAGATATGCTAAACTCAGTATGAGCAATGACTAAGACATTAGCAATTGATAAATGTTCAATTTCCATAAACCAATTCATAACCCATTTCCATTTCATGACCACTATGTTCATATTTCATTTCAATTTCCATTTCTTATCAATTTTACAATTTACATCAACGGCTCAAAACCTGGCCAACCACTTATATGAGACAGTGACTCATATTAAACATTTTCCATTTTTACGATAGATAAACATACTAGTTGTATCAACATCTCAACAAATAAGCATACAAGCTGTATCCACATTTCAACAGATATGCATATTAGCTATATCAACACTTCCAAAGATAAGCATATGAGCTATATCAACACTTCAACCGATATTATCCTGACAAGCATATGGATGTATCAGTGGAGTCCATCCCTATCTCCTCCCAAACACATCCAGTTTAGAGGTTCATCCCTTATCTTCCTAAACCGTGGAGTACATCCCATATCTCCTCCCACACACACAACGTATATACACAAAGGTCATATACACTATCAATCAATACATAACGTTAATGTGTTCTATCAACCGTCATACTCTATGACACATCCAATTGATTAGTTTTTAGTTTGCTTAATCATCATGCATTGTCTACAACAATCAAAAACTACCTCCACCGGTAGCCCAAACATTATTTCTAAACAGATAATAAAGCTCCAACAAATAATATCAATGTTTTCAAAAGTGAGCGATTAATAAATCTAACTCCACTATTCAACCATATAATGAACCATTTCATTTTTTCAACTCAATTCCATAAAGTCACAATTTTCCCAAAATTAGGGTTTTCACCCGATTCCTTAAATATTGACCCAATGGTCCAAATGTCAACAATCAATAACGATATCATTATTTTGAACCCATAATACACATTTTAGACTCAAAATAACAAATCCTCTTTTAACATTTTGAAACCCTAAGTCCCAAAAATTACCCAACTTCAACACTTTATCAAAACAACCAAAATCTAGGTCAAAGACCATAAGAGTGAGTAGGATCCCAACCTCAAATTCGGAGCTCAAGGAAAGAGGGTGAAGAAACTCAACGTACTCCAAAACTCAATATTCTCGGATCAATGTGTAGCCCTCGACGATCAACCCAACTTTTACAAAGGCCGAAAGA